AGTTAATTCACAGAAAATAATTTAATTACACGTTTTGTTTATTATATAATGTGAATTTTAACACTGATGATCCAAAGGATCAAGTACCTATTCGAAACATTGTGTTGTATACAGGGTGTAACAGAAATAAGTGCCGAGCTTGCAAGAGGTGATGGAACACTATAAAACACGAAAATTAAGNAAATTGTATTAAGAGAAAGGGTTAAAAACTTTAGAAGCCAAAGAGAAATATCTTGCCCTTCCATGTAACTAGAAGACAGAACATTTAAATTTATTTTATAGCGAACCATTAACATTTTATTATGTTATCATTGATGAAGTGTTCTACCACTTTCAAGTTCGGATTAATATAATATTTGACATGATTTTGAATGAAGCTAGTTACTTTATCTGTAGCGTGTAAATAAACTGTTCATATCACGAAACTGACTAATGTAATGCAACTAATTTCTTCTGAGTGATAACTTTATTAATTAATGAAAAAAAAAGCATGCCACGGTCAACTTCGGAGCTGCTATATGCACAATTTCTTTTACGATGAATATCATAAAAGCAAAGGCAACATTGTTTAATAAGGATTATTATAATAAGTTCGCAAATATATTTTTTGCTTTATAATCTATAGATGCGGTTTAATGTGGATTTCTTTCATCAATTGTATTTCATGCTATAATGGCCCTTTAATAACTTACATGCTATGCTAAAAATCCAACGAGACAACTTTAAGCACTAATGCCGTCAATTCTGGGCGGCACACCTGAGTATGTAGGTGAACCAAGCTTTATATTTTGAAATGGGATATTTTGGTAAATTATTTTTGTATGGCAAAGGGCAATGAAAAATAATAATTTAGAACATAGTGCCGTATAAAACTAATGGTACAGGAAGTCATGATACTTTTTTAGTTTTATTCCAATTCCAATGATTTTTAGTCATTTAATACTATACTCTAATTTTCTGAAACTTGTAAATTTATGTATATTGCTAATATTACGTCTGTTTTTAATTGTTCAAAGTTTATTTTAAGGAATTTTCGCAGGTGACAAGATTTTTGACGGCATTTTTCAGTACAGGAGTTTTTATAAAACATAAATATTTTTCAAAATTTTCCAGAATTTACTAAGTTTCAGTTTTTTGTTTAAACAAGAAAACTACTCGACCGAATGTTATGTAATTTATTTCGGATCACATTATGTTAATACGCTTTGATCAACACATCAACAAAGTCGATATCATTTCTTATTGGCGCGATATCGATCAGAAAAAAAATGACTGCGCACGTAGGTACGTTCCGCACACACCACATACTTCTTCTCTAAATTATGTTGTGATACTGTGCTCACTTTTAATTTTCAAAATATGTTGAAAACCGCGATTTTTATGATCGGACCCTTTACAATATATTCCCTATATACTGGGAAGTTAATTATTTAAAATTGCCATGTCGTGCATTTTAGACTGAAAATGAATTCAAATTAATTAAATTATTTAATTTNATATTTTTAAATAGCATTTAACTGTTAAAATTTGGTTTGTATTGGATTCTTTTAAGGTACCTTTTTAAAAATTATTCTAAATGTGGTATAGAACGTAGACATTAACACTTTATATCTTGCAATGGTCTTGCGTCGTACGAGTCTGATAAAGGAGGCACGGTCCCTTAAGTTTCACCCCTGTACCATATTAAATATGTACGGGATTGCAAAATAATCATTGTATATGAGCAAAGAAATCGAACCATGTAAACGGCGTACAGTAGGTATTAAATCAAATTTGTACAATAGAAAATAGTTGCAAAAATAAAATAAATTTCATGAATAAATTAAAATAATTGTTTTAAATGATTATTTTTCATTGGCCTACATTATTTCAAAAATACGGTACAAAAATAATTTAGTGAAATATCCCATTTCAAAATTAAAAGTCTGGTTCACCTACATACTCAGGTGTGCTTCTCAGAGTTGACAGCATATTGCTTAAAGTTTTTCTTATATGATACTACAATCCTATATATAATTTATGGTGAGTAAATGGTCAATCAACAAAATGAACTATAAATAGATTTTACTATTCTTAATCGTTTGCAAAATTTTCATTTTCCAGTTTGTGTAGTACTTCAACACGACTTTTTGTCCAATTTAAGAGTTTCTAATTACCAAATACCGTTAGAGAGTTGGGTAGGTATACTTCATTTACTTTCTCTAGCGGTGTTCCCCTTCCAATGTCTTGGATGCGTTGGCAAAATCGTAAGTAGGGAGAAAAAAGCTCATTAAACTCTCGACTCTTATTCATTTAACATACTTTTTCATACAGTATCTGACAAAAGTTTTGTTCAATCATGAATAGTAGTGCGAGTCTAAAACGAGCGTTAAAGCCTTTAATATGTCTTCTAACATAAATAAACATCTCGTTGATATTTTCAGTACTAATTGGTACCAATAACAGCACATTTGTCCAATGCAATTGTAGTGGATAAAATGGTCAATTTTTCCGTGCAGTACTGTACGGATTATACGCTCCTCCCCGGTTAAGAGTTTGTCCGAGAGTTGTCTCCTTTCTTGTCTGGCCTAGTGCTGTTCTCTTCTACTTTGCGCCGGTCAAACTGAAGGTCACATCGCTAGAGGAACTAAACGAAGTATACCTACTGACTTCGCGTTTCAGTCAAGGAATTGTTAAATATTTATAGCTTTGACAGTTTTTGAATTCGTTGCTATTGAACAATTATTTATATCTTTCACTTACAATTAGATACTTATATTTTGTTGTTACAAAAGTAACAACTTTCGTCCCTATCATAAATTGAACTGATATTAGGATTCGACCATCAGCTTTTAATTGATATCAAAGTGAAAAATATGCTATTTTTACGGTTGAAAACAAGACGCTTCTATTAAACGGCGTAACGAACAGAGAATCTGAGGGTTATAAAAATAAAGAAACCCATTCGCATTTGTTTCGTTCTCTATTGTAAATATGGATGATAATGTTGTTTCCTTTTGGTCTCAAAATTAGACCCATTTAAATAAAATATAAAGTTGAACAATACGCGCTTTTCAGTTTGAAGTATATTTTCCTCTTGCTCTACATAAAGGGTGATTCTGTTGTTCGTGTCATCTGTTTATTAAGAAACCATTCATATTCTTGTTCACGTCTTTTACGTTGTGAATTATAAAGAAAAAGTAAAATGCAATCGTTTCGTCAAGGTAATAATATGTAAGTTATCGGATTCTAATCTTTTCAGTTTATGGTTATGTACGATGTTGAGTCGCAGAAAATAATTCGAACATCTGATGTATTTTCAGGTAATAAAATCATAACGAACGTCAATTAAATAAACGTAAAATGTAGCAGTTTTCTAGAGTTGGAAAATAAATTTCCCAAGGTTGGTAATAAAATCGTTTTATGACAGGTATAAAAGTCTCGAAACGGCTTGGCTGTGGACAATGGCTAAATGACAGGTCTACTAAATTGCTAAAACTTCCGCCCATTTTGTACGTGGGTTGTAAAGATATTACCCATAAGGGGAAAAGGTTAGCACTATGTTCATAAGAAGGTTGTACATATTCACCACCTCACACATGAAATGCTACCGTTATGGCCAAAATAATGATCCCATTTGGAAGTAGACTGTGGCTAATGACATCGAATGTTGGAATATTTCCAAAGCAACGTTCATTTGTAGCTTGAATTTTGGTTTCTTCGGCAAATGTATTCAAATGTAGCATGGCTCTTTTACTTATTATAATATGAAGCGATAATTCAGAAATTTGATGCTTTTTACTGTTTTGACAGTCCGTGTATCTATTTTTCATTTTTTTTTATTGTTCTGGTACTACTGAAACGATGAAATCTGCCAAGAATTAATATTTACCTTTAGCTGTTTCAATAGTTAGATATAAAGTTTCTTAAACTATTATTAAAATACTTTCAAATAGTAAGAACACATTATTGGTTGCAAATCGTCCTGTTTTCCCAATACTCGTCCTGACTATTGTATGTTCCAAGAAATGTCTAGTATAAGTTAATAAATGCGACATTTTTTTTTGAAGCGTCCTCTAAAGTTTCGCATATTGATTACTCACCATGCGTCGCTTGTATACGATAGATATGTAAATACATATATATAAGTAGATTGATTTTACATGTTTCTGATTCAAAATCAAAATTGTAAAAAAATGTAATTACAATACAATAAAGGACTTTCTTTGTAATTGCCTACACTACGTACATACTATACACATTATATTTACCTATTACTACTACTTTTATGCAGTGTCCCTTCCTAACTAATATTATAAATGCAAATGTGAGTTTATTTGCTTGTTTGTTTGTTTATTACCATTTCAAACCTTAACTACTCAACCGATCATCATGAAATCTTATGCACACGTTGTCATGGCTGCAGAAAATAATATGGTCTACTTTCTATCCAAATAAAAATGCTGTTTCCAGGGAAAAGAAAAAATTCTTTTCATCTCGATAAAGACGGACCGTCACTGTCAAGGTGTATGTTTAACCTAGAAAATCGGAAACTTCAGTTTTATCATGATGATCCAGGTCAAGACTATTTATGAAATTATTGTATTTTCGATGACCTTTGACACTTAAGCGAAGCCACAAGTCAAAGGTTATTCTTTTATGAAAATTTTGTCGCACATTTTATATTTACGAGCTAGGGATTTATTTGTTGTAGAAAGCGTTGTAAATGCATTTGTGGCTATATTCGCTGTAGCCATTTAAACAAAGTAACCGTTGATAAATAATAACTGAAAAATTGACTCCTTTATGTGTCACCAATAATGAGCTAAACTAGAAACAGTACTCCTGCAGTAATTCTACATTTAGATTATCAATTTTATAATCAACTTAACCTTTTGATAGATTTTGAGAGGTTTATGTTTATACATATACCTACCTATAAGTATCATGGAGTTATTGTTATTTGGATTTTATTTTTATAAATGAATATCTTAATAATAAAAATTTATTGTTTCTTTCAGATCCGCCCCAAATAATTACAAAGCCTCGGAGTCAGTACGTGAAGGCAGGTGGCGTCGCTGCATTTTTCTGTAGTGCACGTGCTGATCCGCCTCCCATAATACAGTGGAGGAAGAATGGAAAGAAGCTATCAAGTAAGGGTACCTACTGTTTAAATATGAATATCACAAGGCAAATAAATTTTTTGTTAAATCGAAGAAGCTAACATGAAGCTATCCTTAGAAAGCGTGTCCGATTATGAAAATTATTTTTGAATATTAAAAGTGAACTTCAAAGGTAAATTGATCTTCGCTTTATTGTAGTATATGGTTACAAATGCATAAGCGTGTAGTGTGTATTTAATCTTGACCGAGCGGCATGGCCTAGAGGTCTAGACCACTGCTTAGCATTAGGGAGGACGCCGGTTCGATTCCGGGTCCGTCTGCCTTGGTCCAAGTTTTTCCGTGATTTCCTTGGATCACTTAGGCGAATGCTGAGGCAGTAATATTCCACAGATAATCTTTCACTCTCTTCTGTCTTCATTTCGTCCGTCTCATCTTTCTCACCCGAACCACCACCCACCGATTCCCATGATTCCTGAAAGCAGGCTGAAGAGGGCCTTCCGCCATACTTTCCGGCATAGCCCGGAGGGACTGCCCGCCCACCAGCATTACTGGCTGGTGGGAATGAAACACCCAAAAGAAAAAAAAAAATAATCGTGAGATTGTCTTGAAGAAACGTACAGATCGACCAATGAATCTGGAGCCGCTTGATACGCACAAGCGGGAAAGAGAGCGAAAGCGAGTAAAGAGTGACCGATATGCCTCTCGGCTTGTTCTTGAATTATGTACAGTCATAGGAACAAGTAAATCTGATTTCAATGCTGCGTACGATACTGGTATACTTCATTTACTTTCTCTAGCGATGTTCATTTTCCAATGTCTTGGATGCGCGCTGGCAAAATTGTAGGTAGGGAGAAAAAGGCTCATTATACTCTCGACTCTTGTTCATTAAATATACTTTTTTATACAGTACCTGCCAAAAGTTTTGTTCAGTCATGAATAGTAGTGCGAGTCGAAAACACGCGTTAAAGCCTTTAATTTGTCTTCAAATATAAATAAACATCTCGTTGATATTTTCAGTAGTAATTGGTAGCAATAACAGCACATTTGAGCAATGCAATTGTAGGGGATAAAATGGTCAATTTTTCCGTGCAGTACTGTAGGGATTATACGCTCCACACCGGTTAAGAGTTTGGCAGAGAGTTGTCTCCTTCCTTTTCTGGCCTAGTGCTGTTCTTTTCTACTTTGGGCCGGTCAAACTGAAGGCCACATCGCTACAGAAACTAAACGAAGTATAATAATGATTTGCTTTCAATATTGCAGTGACTCTCCATATACTATACACGATGATTACTACTCTACAACGTTGTACGAAATAAGTTCTAGTTAAATCCCTTCCACTTTGCCGCTGCGCATACCTCTGTCGCGGCTACAGATTCGTTGGCCGATCTTTAGAATTAACACAAAAAGGGTAGCTTAAAGAATATCGGATTCAGGTTGCTTAGAAATTAATTTCCACACTAAAAAGTATTGTTACTAAAAATGCAACATGGGATCATTAAATTACCCCTTTTAAAAATTTTAGCCGATCAGGTTTTCAATGCAGGCTTTCTAATAATATCTCCACGTTTACGTATAGGTATCCCAAATGCGGCAGTCTGTCTAGCCTAACCAAACTGGAAGTTTTAACAGATACGAGTAGTATATTAGAAATAATGTTTAAGTAAATTACACTTATATAATTTTATGATTTGTATTGCTTCTTTGTTTAGTCAAAGAAAGCCATATTCACTCACATCACTGTCACAGTATATGGTTACTTTGAATACTTGATTGGACATAGACACGTACATTAAGACATCTTTTCAGACTTGAGAAGTAACGTTCTGCTTTTAACATATTGCTTGGTTGCAGGTGTACAGCCTAGATATCAAGTAAACGAATTTGCCGTTGGGGAGTCCCTACTGAGAATCGAACCAGTACGAGCCAACAGGGATGAAGCAGTTTACGAATGTTTGGCGGAAAATGGAGTCGGTGATGCAGTTAGTGCTGATGCAATTCTAACTGTTTACGACGGTAAGTAGTCACCCTTTCTACTTTTACATTTTGGACACAATGCGGAATGGTTTGTCCAAACCTGCTCGAGAAGAGAATAATTGAACACTTTTTGGGTAAGGTAGAAAATCAACGGCATATAAGCTTAATCGGGCGCAAACAAACTTTAATTCTTCTCAAAACCGAAAAACCTACAGTCATGGTAATCTTTTCAGCACATAAAAACATACAGGGTAAATCTTTTATCTTGTGACAATGAAATACTTATATCGATTAGATCTCATCATTTCGGAGGATGTTTTTGACAAAAGTCGTATGTTCTTGTAGCGGCAATTAATTTATGTTTAGATTTTAAGGTCATGCAATTTTTTTAAACGGGAATCTATAATTTTTTAATGGAAGGAGGGGAAACTACCATTGAAGTTGATCCTAATTTTTTAATCAGTGTTTATTAATAATCAAAGGTAGATCAACTTCAAAGGCATTTCCATTTATAAAATTTCCTAAACTAAACGATTCAATAGCTAAACACTTCGGTAACGCTATTCAATCGTCGTCGTAAATGGCAGTTCGGTGCACGTAAACTTAATTTATAATGGCCTGCAAAAAAGGAATGAACCTACTGTATAAAATCTTTATACTGTGTCGTTCCTATTATTTCACTACTGTACGTATAAATAGTTATATTGAAGTTTAAGTACATAATGTTGAAATTTTTCATTTTTCCATGGCTGAAATATCTTTGCATACAGAAATGATATTCTGCTAATACGAAAATAGTTAACAAAGTTGTATCAGACATTAGTTTCGCGTGTTAAATCCGGATATGAAAAGGGCCAAATACAAATCTACGCTTAAGATTCGGTGTGGTAATAATGGAGAAGACTTCAATTTTCTCCTCAGTGCAGTGCCGAAATGTAAATAAAATGGATACCATTTCTTCCAAATACTAAAAAATACAAGAAATTGCGCGCTAAAGTAATAAGACGATCAGAATTAGCCAAACAGCAATCATATTTAAGGTAATGTGAGCACCATTCTACAGAAAATAAACTTTTCTTTTTAAGTTATATTCCAATCCGACGGGGCTTGAACTTTCATGAACTAGAGCGGGTGGATCGGCTTGCGAGTTTCGATTATTTAGGGAGTCGGACCATAGGTTTAACCATACTTGGGGAGAAAGAAAAAAGAGAACCCAAAGTAAGACAAGTCTCTGAAGGAGGGCAGCAGCTCCTTCATTGCTCAGGGTAGCAGAGATCACGAGAATCGGTATGGCACTCTGATGCATAATATTGCGATGTGAAAGGAAAAGGAGATGCAACTACATTATGATTTTCCAAGAAAAATACACCAAATACAAATGATGGCGTCCTCTGGGGTAAAGCACTCCGGACGTAAACTAGTCCTCTATTCGGATGTCCGAGGCGAGGACTACCTCGGGGATGTCATCAATAAGTGCAATAAGGGAAGGTGCAATATTTCACGAGTCGGAGCGTGGAATGTTAGAACCATGAGACAATTAGGGAAATTAGAGAAATTTGAAAGTTGAAATAAATAGGCTAGAATTAGATATAGCAGGCATTAGCGAAGTCCATTGGCCAGAAACCGGAGACCTCAGGAGTAGAATAATACATACGAGATCAGTGAAAGGTAATTCGGAGGTGGGAATCATAATGCGTAGGAAAGCAGGACATAGTGTAAAAGGTTATTTATAAAAGAGCCATAGGATAGCAATGGTTAAATTAAACTAGAAGCTGGTAAAAACGGTAATAGTTCAGGTCTACATGCCTATAACATTTTACAATGATGAAGACGTAGAAGCGGTGTATGCAGAGGTAGAAGACGTGTTAAATTTAGTGGAAAGGCAAGAAAAACTAATAGTTGTAGGAGTCCTCAACGCAGTAATAGGTGAAGGTTACGATGGTGCAATAGCAGGTTCTTTTGGATTAGGTAAAAGAAATGATAGGGGAGTTAGACTAATAAAATGATAAACATAACCGTTGCGAAAACTTTATTCAACCATCACGTAAGGAGGCGCTATACGTGGAAGATGCCAGGTTATTTAAGGAGATATTAGTTAGATTACATGCTTGTTAGGCAAAGATTTAAAAATCAAGTTAAGGACTGTAGGAGTTATCCCGGAGCAGATATAGATAGCGATCATAACGTAGTAGTTATCAAGACCAATCTTCAATTGAAAATTATGAAAAGGAGAGAAGGTAGGAGATGTCTTGACTTAGAAAAACTAAAATGTAGCGAAACGCCGGATAGGCTAGGTACAAGTACAGGCGAAATATTAAAGAAGACGGGAAAACTGAATGGCAGGACAGAGACAGAATGGAACAGCTTTAAATCGTGCTTAAAGTTAGCAGTTACAGATGTATTAAGTCTTAAAAGAATTAATAGAAGAATGGCAGAAATACAAAATAGGACAGACGAAGAAGGACAAAAAGGATAAAGCAGAAAACAATTAGGAACAGTTGCTTGGTATGAGGTGTAAAGATGTAGAAGAAATGTTTGAAGTAGGTAAAACGGATGAGACTTATAATATAATTAAAAGGAATTTTAGAGAACTAGGGTACAGTAGTAATAATATAAAAACAACAGTTGGAAAGAATATTTAGAGAACCTATAGGTAGGCCATGAGTTAGGAGATACATATTAGAAAAGGGAGATAATGTGGAAATAGATGAACTAGATTATCCCATAATGAGAGAAGAGCTCGATGTAGCATTAAAAAACTTAAAGAATAATAACGTATAGATGGGATACATGCAGAAATTCTAAAGTTTGCAGGACAAGAGGTTAGAGATCGTATGTATAAGCTAGATAGTAACATTTACGAGACGAGGAAAGTCCCGGAGGAGTATAAACAGAACGTGGTAGTAACCATACCTAAAAGGAAAGGCGCGGATAGATGCAAGAAATTTAGAATAATTAACTTAATTTCCCATGCGTCCAAAATCTTAACTAAAATTTTTCAGGGAAGGATGGAAAAAAGGGCGGAAGAACTATTAGAGGAAGATCAGTTTGGGTTTAGAATAAATACAGGAACGCGGGAGGTCATTTTAGCTTTGCGGGTAACAATAGGGAAAACGATTGAAAAAGGAAAGAGTGCGTATATAGGATTTGTAGATTTAGAAAAAGCTTTTGATAATGTTAAATTGCAGTAGATGTTAAATATACTTAAGAAAGTAGGGATGACTTACAAAGATAGAAGAGTGATACTTAGTTTGTATAAAGAGCAACATGCAGTTATATTAGAGCTGGAGCAGCAACGTAGAGAAGTAAATATTAGGAAGGGAGTCAGACTAGGATGCACACTGTCACTGCTACTTTTTAATCTACACATCGAAGACGCGATCAACTTCATTAAAGCCAGTACACCCGTAGGGATAGGTATAGAGGGGCAAGAGAATAGTAAGCTTCGATTTGCAGATGATATACCGGTAGGGTTGCCATCCGTCCTGGTTTCCCCCGAATTGTCCTAGTTTGGAGGACATCCGGAGGGGCTTTACGAGGGTGGATTGATAAGTTTCCGGCCTGACCAAGAAAAACAAGGTTTTTAAAAATTTTTTTTTTTTATTTCTCAACATAATCTCCTCCAAGGCTGATACATTTCTCATAGCGGTGTTCCAGTCTATTAATGCCATCTCTATAGACTGATTCGTCAAGCTCCTCAAAATAACCATTTACAGCTTCGATTACTTCTTCATTGTCCGCAAATCTCTTACCGCCAAGCCATTTTTTGAGATTAGGGAACAGAAAATAGTCACTCGGGGCTAGGTCTGGAGAGTAAGGAGGGTGCNATCAAGGTATAAAAGTAGTCTAGGTTTAGGTCACTTCTAACCTAGGGTCGCCATCCGTCCGGGTTTCCCCGGATTTGTCCTAGTTTAGAGGGAATCCGGGGAGCGTCCGGGTGGGCCTTCATTTGTAGTCCGGGTTTAAAAATTTAAAGTCTTGGGCCTCCCGCGACGTATATTAATAATTTGAGTTTTATTTTAAGGTTAAAAAATCTAACTGATTATTAAAACAATTTGTAGCAAACTGTAATAAGATTCTGTTTTGTTAGGTACATTTAAAATGATGATAAAAAATGACCAAATTTAATTTTAAGGTCTGAAAATAAATAAAAAGGCGATTTATGACATTTCTAACTGTTTTTTATTACACTGACTATGTTTAAAAAAACCTGTAAACATGTCCGGGTTCTGGACTCTAAAATCCGGAGTTTCCACGCGTCTTGTCCTGGTTTCTAAATTGTAGAGATGGCAACCTTATATATTAGTATGAGCATCTAACAAGGAAGAGTTAGAGATAACTTTAAATAAAATGGAGGCGGTATTGACAAAACAGTATTGTGCTAAAATAAATAAAGGTAAAACAAAATACTGGTGTACAACGGAAGAAATAGTAAGAAAAGAGCGAATGTAAAGATAGGAAACGAAAGATTAGAAGAAGTGGCTGATTTTAGGTGTGTAAGAAGTCAGATAAATCGGGTAAGAGGGAGTAGTAGGGATATAAACCAGAGGATAACGCAAGGTCGAGTTGCCTTCAATAAAAAGAAGTCACTTCTATGCTCGGGAACGGTTAATTCAGAAAAAGGTTGTTAAAGTTGTATGTTTGGAGCGCGGCTCTGTAAATCCAATATAGCGGACGTCACCAAATAGCGATTTGTAAGCTTTTTATAACTGATTTATTGATGCAATTTCTAATAAGTGGTAAAATTTATGTGAAAATGGTTGTAACAAGTTTTAAACAACTTAAAAATGTTGACATATACTAGATATAATATTGACTTCCAAATTTCAGAAGACTAAAAAGTAGAAAATAAAATTACATAACAAAATACTATTTATTCAAGAAAAGCTTTTACTTAACAGTAAAATATAACAAAGTACAAAAAAGGAAAAAATAAATATAAATAAAAGCTTAGGCGTTCATTAGAAGCGAAATAATCCTGAAAAATGACACAATATTTCGCTTCTTTTCACTACTGCTATCATATAGTTTTAATATCT